ACCTGAAACTAATCAAAACACTGCATATTTACATGGGTCAAAACAAATTCACCTTTTAATCCTTTCCCTCAGCCCAAATCTCCCATTCCTGAGCCAGACATTAACACAGCAACCAAACACCCAAGCTGCTAAAAGAGTCCTCATTTTTAAATCTTCCTAGATCAGATTGAAAATAATCTGCAAAAAAAGGATAAACTGCAACATAGATAGAGCTATTTCTATTTCTAGATAGATAGAACAGCACATGTTCTCAAATTATATTTGCTATAGAATTTGAGAAAGTTTTGTATGTTTATAAAGATATAAAAGTATTTTTAAAATTAACTAATGACCATATATGAGATAATATTTTTTTTTTGTTCATGCTTTACTCATATCTATAGCATCAATTGTCTGAGCACTATATACATAAGAGTTCTGAAAAATATGATGAAAAATACCATTCAGCAAGAAAAAAAAATAAACAAACTTACTGGAGCTGCTGGTGCATGGGCAGAGCAATCTGAGGGGGGACATTGATGAACCTCTCACTCAGGATGAGCCCCACAGGCTTGGTGCTGTCACTGAGGAGTTTGCTGAGCTGCTCCAGCACCTGCTGCTCACAGCTCTGCTCACAGCGCCTCAGGAGCAGCTCTTTGATCTGCTCAGCACACTGGGTGCCCTGCAAGCAAAGGGTGCATTTTATTTACCTGACACAACAGCTGTTTACACAAAAAAACCCCTTGAGTGTCACCTGAGTGTCACCTTGGAGGGAAATTCCTACAGGCCTGGTGGCAATTTCCCTCAGCAGCCCCTAAAGCACTGCACCATTGCTGTGAAATCATTCTCCAGCCTAAAGCTGAGGGCAAACAGAGCTTGTGGAGTGATGGCAACAAGGAACTGCAGCACCACAGCAAAACTCCAAACTGCACAAGATCAAGGGGAGGAACTACAAGAGACTGACAGCTCATTTGTGCTGGAATTACTAGGCTCAGTTTTAACTCCCTGTTCCATTGTCTGCTTCATGTTTGACCCAAAAAGCAAAGCCACTTCAAGTTTTATCACCCCAAAAAGTTAAGCCACTTCAAGTTTTATAACCCCAAAAAGTTAAGCCACTTCAAGTTCTATAACCCCAAAAAGCTAATCCACTTCAAGTTTTATCGCCCCAAAAAGCAAAGCCCCTTCAAGTTTTATAACCCCAAAAAAGCTAATCCACTTCAAGTTTTATCACCCCAAAAAGCAAAGCCACTTCAAGTTTTATAACCCCAAAGAGTTAAGCCACTTCAAGTTTTATCGCCCCAGTCCTCCAGAGTGGAATTCCAAATCCTGTCCAGCTGTCCAGGCTTGTTACACAGGATGCAGTCTCATTTATTACTGATGGTAATATTTATAACCAGATGTTACTGAGGAATACCAACCTTCCTTTCTGTTAAGTTCAAGCAGCTTATAAAACCAAATACTTCATCATCATCATCTTCATCATCAGAACTGTCTTCCTGCACTTCTGCTTGCTGTTGGATGAAAGGAAAAGCAACAACTCATACTGACATTCTATTTCCAGTCTGTAGCAAAAGATGTTTTTCTTTCCAGGTGGTGTCAGCAGATGAAAACCACAGAGGAATCTGTACAAGCACACACTGCACATTGTGCTGCACCACTGGACACCTCAGTGTGCTCAGAGGCAGCTTTAGGGGCCAGGCCATGCATCTGCCACAGCACAGTCCTCTGAAAGGCACTGAAGGTTGATGGCTCACATTTGATAAGCAGCATCTCAGCCCAGGGAATGGCAGTATCTTAAACAAAACCAATTTCCTTCAGTGTCTGATGCAGTAAACCTGGAGTGTCTTGACAAGCACAGAGCAATAAAGCTTTGATAGGGAGGGGACAAAGAGCTGTGTCTTTGTAGGAAAGTCAAAGCTCCTATTTATTATGCAGATGGAGACAAACCTCTCCATTGCATTTTCAGCATTACCACACTGAAATTCAGGGAGGGAAAAGCTTTCTATATGTAAAAATAAACCAGCAATAACAACACATTAAATTAATTCTTTGCCTGAAAGCAGGCATGGAAAATATCAGTTCCCATAGAAAAATTACTCTTAAAGCAGAAAAAGCAAGAAAGCAGACAAATAACAGACAGGATCCCCTTCTGAAATACAGAAATAATGTCATTTTAACAAAGAAAGCATTGTACTTCAGTCACAAATATCATATCTGTCTTACCTTGATAATACTCCCAATATGGTTCTGTTGTATTAATATATCTGTTAATTCAGCAGTGTCAACAGGAGCTTTTAGAAACAACTGGAAGACAGGAAACAAGTATTAAATTTCAGGCACTGAGAGTAACTCCTGGACCACTTAATAGAAAATTAAGTGAGATTTTTATTTATCTTCCTTCATTATGATACTGCAAAAACTAGCAATCAGCTGCTGGAGGTGCTTGCTCCTGCACCTTCCACATGCTGATATTTCCCCACTGGTACCCTCTGGAGTTTGGTATGATCTGAAAGCTGTGGCTGTTCCATCCCTGGAAGTGTCCAAGGGCAGGCTGGAGCAATCTGGGATAGTGGGAGGTGTCCCTAACCGAGTCAGGAGGTGGCACTGGATGGCCTTTAAAGTCCCTTCAGACCCAAACTGATCTGGGATCATCTAATAAAAGGAAGCAAAGTAATATATAAAAGCTATAAACCAACACAGAGAATGTGAAGTGATGCCGTTGCACAACTCCTTAGATATTATTTATAAATGCACTATCAGCCAAGCTGACAAGTAGCCACAGTACCTGCTGTAGTAATTTCTTTATCCCATTATAGTCATTGTCTGATATGGAATGTGCTTCAAATTCAACATTCACCTCCTGTGGAGTAAAACAGAGAATATCACACACACTTGGCAGAGGTTATATCAGAACAAAGCTAAACTGTAAGAAACTTGAAGGCAATAAAGGCAAAGAGCAGAAACAGAACTTATTTCCACCTTGCAGTAATCTCAGCAATTGTTATCATTTCTCCTGTGACCTTTAGAGAACATCTGTGAAAGTAACTTTTTAAAACTGACCCACCAATGGTGTCATGAACAAACCTCTAATGCTTTGCTCCTGCCATCTGGTTCACACAATTACAGCTGTTGTAGCCACAGACTGTTCCTGGAGAGAGGCTGACCCAGGCACTTAAACCCTGGCAACTTCAGCACTGGGGTCTAACACCTCAGCTGCAGATTGCTGCAGACATTTAAATATTTACATCCAAACCCACACTTCTGCTATTTCCCCAAATCCTCCTGGCATCATTAACCCCACTGTGGAACTCTGCAAATGATGAGACCCAAGCACTGCAGCAGCCACAATGGGACCTGCTGCTTCTCCTTCCAGAACAAATGCTGTGTGTCTACCAACATTCTTATTGGTATTCAAAATTAAAAATCACACCTGCCAAGGTTACTCTGCCCACCTTTTCCACTGTTCAAGATCGTTCTACTTTTAATTGCCAGTTTCAACTACACCTCCTGAGTAACCACAACAACTCAGCCTCACTTTTGCCACCATTCAGCCCCAGAACTCTCTCCAATTCCACATAGAGGTCATGGCTTTTGCTGTCCACTGGAAGAACAGTGTTAAAGATCTGTCTGCAAAGTAGAAAACAGGCACACAGTCCCTTGGGAGGCAGCAAAAATCCAGGCTGCCCCTGGATCCCTGCAAGTGCCCAAGGCCAGGTTGGACAGGGCTTGGAAAACCCTGGGACAGTGCAAGGTGGCCCTGCCAAGGCAGGGGGTGAAACTGGATGAGCTTTAATGTCCTTTCCAAACCAAACTATTCTGGGATTCTACAATAAAAGGAAACAAATATATTTGTATAACAATAAACCATAGCAGAAAATAATAAAAGAGCTAATGCTCTGTGCTGACAGCACCATTTCCAAGCAGCCGCCTCCAGCCCCACACCTGAGCAGACACACCAAGAGCCAGGGGGGTGTACAGCTGAGACCTCGGGACCCCAACACTTGGAAAACAGCTAAAAAATCAAAAACTTTCAACAACAACACAGTGAACACACTTTGGATCACTGGCCCACAGGGACGCGTTCCCTGCACTGCCACAGGACACGCACCCAGCACCTGCTGGGCCTGGCAGGGCCCTTCCCCAGTACAGTATTTTCAGGGAACCCCCGATGAGGGGAGAAAAATGAGGCATCTGATTCCATGCTATCAGAAGGCTCATTAATTATTTTATTATACTACATTATTCTATACTATATTACATTACCTCTAAACTGAATTTGCCAAGCACTCAACTCTGCACACACTGCACAGAACTCATGACTGTCACCCTCAGTCCCGACACACACACTCACACACCTGGCCCTGACAGGCCAAGTAAACAAAACACCAAACAAACAATCTCCATATTGCATTCTACTTTAGCACAAACACAGGCACTGCGAACGATAAGAATTGTTTTTCCTTTCTCTGAGGTTCAGCGAATGGGAAACCCAGAAATATTCTTGGGAAGAATTGTGCCTTGGTTTTCTCCGTGAAGAGAAACGTGGCGACCCCCGAACATCCCCTGACACCCTTCCCAATCCCTTCCTGAACATCCCCTGACAGTCCCTACCCGAATATCCCCTGACAAAATCCCTTCCCAATCCCTTCCCCAGCACCCCCTGCCAACCCCAGCCGCGCCGGGGCCATGCGGGGCCGGTCCCGCTCACCTCCGCGATGGGCTCGTCCGAGTCGGAGCACGCCGAGCTCTCGGAGCCGCTGTCGGAGCCCTCGGAGCTGCCGGAGCCGCTGTGGGATCCTTGCTCCCCGGCGGGGCCCCGCGCCCGGCGCTTGGCCGGCGTGGCCATGGCACGGAGGGGCGGTGTGGCCGCGGGATGTCGCTGAATGTCGCCGAAAGTCGCGACAGAGAGCGGCAGGCAGCGCCCGCTGAGCGCGGAGCAGCCGCGGAGCCTGAAGGGGGAAGCCCGGCCCGCCTCTGTCCCCGTGAACCCGGATTTCCTCTCGGTGCTGTGGTGTCACTTCCTTGCGAAGGGAATTCCTTGCAGAAATGGCTGTCAGGGATTAAATCCGCCTGCCCAGGGCGGTTTGGAGTCCCCGTCCCTGCAGGAAGGGCTGGAGGTGGCTCCAGGGCTGGGGACGCGGTGGGGATCGGGCACTGCTCGGGCTCGGTGACCCTGGAGGCGTCCCCAGCCTCAGGGATTCTGTGCTTTAAAAGTGTCTGAGCATCTCCGACAGTTGCAAAAATTACTGTAAGTAAAAACCAGCGTTAGTAAAAACTGCCGATTAAAGCAGGAATCAGGCTGCTCGCTCTAGAAATCGTGTCCCGGCTTCCCCCGACCCAAATTCCCTGGATAATTCCAGACAAATCACAGAGAACGGTGACAGGGACAGCGCAGTAAGCACAACGTGATTCTGGGCTGTATAAAAACGCCAGTCGGGAAAACGCGTTCAGATGCCCTAAACACTGAAAGAATGCTCATTAATGATCAAGTCACATGCAACGTGTTCCATTGAACGCTTTGTGTCTAATTAATGAAGAAATGAGCTGTTAATGAGGCCGTGGGAAGAAGAGCATTGGGCACTCGCTGTTGCCAGCCAGGGGAAATGCAAGGCGCAGAGCCCTGGGATGTAATTCCAGCTTTATAAACGTGCTTCAAGTAGGCTCAAATTTTCATCTTCCCTTTAAAGCCTCAAACGCATCTGTGGGGTTTTAAATTTTGTTTTCGTTTGGGGTTTTTTGTTTGGTTGGGTTTTGTGTTTGTTTGGTGTTTTGTTTGTTTGTTTGTTTGGGTTTTTTTGTTTTGTTTTTTAAGCTATGTTTGCTCTGGGAGCAATTAGCTCATTGCCAAAATTCGAATACTGATATCCAGGGAAAGAATGTAGAGGAAGATGGAATTTTCCCATGTGTGTGATCTGTCAGGAAAATACCACACTGGTAATTGGGGTAAATATGCACTTAGAGAAGGGATTTCTCTCTAAAAATTGTATTATTTATGTATTTGCTTATGTTTTGTGACTTTGAGGTTAGCACCAAAGCTTGTAAGGAACTGAGAAGTCTCATCTTTTTTCTTCAATTTTTATGGCAGAATAGATGTTTTCAGTCCTGCCTTGTTTGCTAGACTATCAGAGCAGGCATATGAATATTATCTATATTATTATAGATGTATAAATATGTGCATATAGACACATATATTAAATAAAATCAATCTTTGCATGCTCATTTTGCTGAGCAGAGGGTGCATGGAAATTAATAGAATAAATAATCTTTTTGTAGCTAGGAGCTGATTCAATTGCAGAACGTGGTGGCATTGTAGGACCTGCTGCTGCTTTTACAAAATATTCTTTCAAATGTGTTCCCCTTGATGAGTTTAGCAGAGCCTCTCCTTTGAGCAATGTTATCTAAAGGCAGCATATTCTTTTCTGTCCTTATCAGGGTGGGTGTTCCTGCCTGGAGAATGCACAAATAGCTGTTTACTCCTTGTGTAAGGAGCAGTACAACTGCTAGCAACCCACTCCTTGGAGCTGCTAAAGTCACTGTTAGAGTCAAAAACTCCTCCAGAAATTAGATATAATTAAGATAAATTCCATTCTTGTGTTTCAGGGTTCTGCTGTGCCTCCTTGGTGAACAATGAAGGTTCTGCTGCTGAAGGATCCCAAAGACAAAGGTTCAGGACCAGATCCTTATATTGAAGTGAGTAAAAGTTGAGAAAATTAAAAAAGAAGTGTCACTTCTTCATTAAATATGAATGCAATTGTTTCAAGTCAAACATAATAAAAATTAGGAGTGTCTTTCTGAAATTATGCTGAGAGAAAAAGTATCTTGGAAAATAGCCCTTCATGCAAAAAAATGTATTAATTATGGGATATTTATACTGAATTCATTGTAAAGCTCTCAGCAAAGTACTGATATTAAACCAGCTTCATTTGCATTAATTAGTATTGATTATGTTCATTTGGACAGAATAGAGATTACAGAAATTCTTTGTGTTTTTACTGGGAATGTGATGGGAAATAGAGGTTACCTGTTGCTGGGGTCCCTTCTGCTCCTGCCCTTGGTCCTGTGAGTAAATCTCACTGACAAGAGTCGGAATTCCTGATAAAGGAGGATTATTTCTTCAGAAGAAACCTACTGACAGAGTTACAGAAATGCACAGCGATATTCACAGGACTGGGTGGGCACTTGGGGACTTCAGAGTTTTGTGCTGGTGTCTCTTGTACCTCAGAAGGTCCCACAGCTGATTGTTTAATTAAATATTGTAATTATAAATAATTAACAAATTCAAACTAGATTTACCAGGGAAAAGAAATAAAATGCCTTTTAATTTTGCTTTAGCAAAGACAAATGCTTGTGCTGACTTAGCCAGCTCTGTGAAAAAGCAAAAATGCTGTTTGGAATTTATTTCAGAGCTGCAAACCTTTTCTTGATAGGAATTAGGATCATACAACTTGGAAGCAACGTTGATCCCAGCTTTGTCATTTGAATTCACCTCTCTTGACAGCTTATTTGAGAAGGTAAGTTTGAAATTCTTTCAGTTGTCTTATTTCCAACAGGATTTGGTTGCCAAGATCCCATTTAACCATTCTCTGTGTGGTACAAATAACTCTCTGGTTGTACAGTAAATTTCATGTACAGTGAATTTCATGTACAGCAATCAAGGAGCTTGCCCTTGCTTCTTAAAGAATTAAATTGTTCAGACAGAATTCACATTTAAATTGTGAATTGTCACAAGTGTTGGGGCATTTCAGGCAGTTATTGAAGCTGTTCTGCTTGCCACAAGGTTATAAATAAGTGATCAGCTGATTTTTAAAATTAATTTATAATTAATTTTTTTTTTTACTTCTTAAATTTACTGTTTCTAAACAGCTTTCCCATCCAGAGTGTTATGGAGGCCTGGTTTTTACCAGCCCAAGAGCATTAGAAGCCATCAAGATATGTTTAAAAGAGAAGAGTAAAAAAGAGGGTAAGTACATATTGATATTCCTTGGTCTTTTTCTTCCAACATCTTGTGAAGTTTGGATTTTAATGAATTTTATTTCACCCACCAGTAGATATTTGGAGCATGATTTTTTAAAAAAAACCCCTGAATTTCATAATTCTTTTAGAATCATAAAGGGTTCATGCTACACTGAGCTTTTCAGGGTTGTGTTTTCCACACTGAAAAATGAAGGAAAGGAGCTTTTGGTGCAAATTACCAATTAGTGAGAGCTTTGCCAGCTCTGGTTCTCTCTTGCAGAAGGAATATTTTTTGCCTGGTTGATTGCTGACTGCTTTCCTCCTTAAAGAGAAGATCATCTCACAAAAACTGGCCATCCCTTCTGTGCCTGTATAATTCAAATGAAATGCTGCAGAAAAAGGGAGCTCTCTGTTTTGAATAAGAAATTTCTCAAGTGAATTAATTATTAGCTAAAAAATGATGAATTTCTCAAGTGAATTAATTATTAGCTAAAAAATGGTGAAGTGCTGAGGCATCGAAGCCAGGAGATGAGGAGTGAGGAAGAATCCTGCTAAACAGAAATACCCATCACAATGAAATGCCAAATCCTTATAAACTCTTCCAAATTCTTATCTTGGGTGATTCTGGCATGGAGTTTCTACTTTACCTGCTCCATTTTTGGGCTGTAGACAACTCAATGTCCTGTGAGTAAGGTTACACCCTTGAGTAAGCAGCAAATGCACTGAGACCCTCAGCTATTGTAGCATTTGTAGCAGTAGAGAGCAATATATTAAGATTTTAGGTCAAAAAGTATCTCTAAATTCCATCCCTAACCTTGATTAGGACTTTTGGAAAATAAATATTTCAATAATAAAAATGAGTCTGTAGTTCCTATTTGGGTTCCTCTCAATGGCAATAAATCCTTGAGTTTTTTCTTCTGATTTTTATTTTTACTGTTGTAGTTTGTGTTTCTTTTTTCACCCCAGTAGTCCCAGAAAAAACTCAGTGTCCTGTGCTGCTGTGATTAAAACAAGACAATAAAAAATTTGGAGTATCTATTTTTGATCCTGTAGGATTTGTACATCCAGATTTGCTGAATGTGTAGTGGAATTTTAGCTATTATTATCATTTTGCTGTATTTGTGGATTAAACAAAAGCCCAAAAAGTCATTTATCATTCACATTCTGTTGCCATGTGCTTAAATTCCATTTAATTTAGTATAATTTAATGTTTTTCAGCCTGGTCAAAATCTCTTAAACAAATGTGGAATATCAAACCAACATATGTGGTAGGAAAAGCTACAGCCTCTTTAGGTAAGCTGGGGTTTAAAACAAGAAAAATTGGCTAAATCTGACTTGTAAGTACAATTTTTGGAGGAAGAGCTGTTATTCAATGGTGCTGAGAAAGAAATTTAAGTTTTAAAGTGGTTAATTTGGAAGAGGGGGAATTATGTAAACATTGGAATTATCCATGCTCCAGCCAAGGATATCCATGGGTCTGATCCAGCCTCTGGATTTCTGCTCCTTCTGTTGTAATCTGATGGCCACTGCCTGAAAAATTGGGTCAAAACAGGAAAAAACCCCTTTGTTCTTAATGTGAATGTGGTTTTGTCATTGCTTTTGGAAGTGAAATTGGATGAAAGGGATTCTAACCTTGCAGAATTTATTTGTACACAAATTATTTGTGTGCCTCCCTTTCCATCCCAGGGTTCTGTGGCAGGAAATCTGAATTGTTCTCATTGTTTTTCATGGTTTTTTCTTTGCTGCTTTTGGTTCTAGTGGAAGAAATTGGTCTTGTTGCACAAGGAGAAATGGCTGGAAATGCTGAGAAATTAGCTGAATATATTTGTTCAAGTAAGTGGTTAAAATGTTGGAGTTAAATTAAAGTAATCCTAAATAAATTAAGGTCCTTTCCATCATTTCAGAATTTCCTTGAGGCAAAATCAAGTGCACTGTGAGACAAAAATACTTCAAAATACATAATACAAGATATTAATCTACATGTAATTTAGACCCTCTAGTTAATTAATAAATACTATATGAACCAGCAGGAAAAAGTTTATTTTTACTGCAAGATCAGAGCTGTAATGACTGGAAATTGCTGCTAAATGAGAAGATTTGATTGCTGGTGACTTTCCCCAAAATTACCCTGTGGTTTCAGACAGATCTGCTTTTCAGCACCAAAACTGAGTGGTTTTGAAGAAATTAAATTGATGCTTTAAGTTTTGTTTAACCATTTTGTTATGGTTAAATCTGTAACTCTTAGCCTATTATCAGATTATTGGGGAATTTTAAAAGTCTGTTTGCTGACTTCTGTTTTTACTCTAAGTTGTTAAAATTTCCAGTAGCAACAAGGACGATTTTTAGACTCAGGAGCTGTTTATTTTTTGAGTGGATGGCTCAGTAGGAGCAGTGAAAAAAAGAGTTTTTGTACAGATGTGAGGCTGCTGAGCAAAGTCAGCCCAGTAGCAGAGATTTATAGGGAAAAGAAAAATGGGATGGGAGCTGGAAAGGATTGGTTTTGCTGGGCACAGTGCTCCCTAATTCACTGGCACATAAAATACTTCAGCTCTAGGGAATATTTAATGGTAAAAATGGGAGTTGCCAGCACAAGATCAAATAATAAATTCTGAAAATTAAAAATGCAACGCGAATATGTCGTGAGTGAAGAATAACCCATCTCCTCTCTTCTAATAGCAAATGTATTAAAGCAAATAAAGGGTTCAGCTGACTTTTAGTGCTGCAAATCTACTTCTGGCAGTGAATTAATATTTGCCAGGGATTCTTTTGAGCAGAAAGACAAGAGAAATACCTGTTTATTGTGTTGTATGAAGGTGAAAAAAATTACCCAAGCAGTGAATTTCAGTCGCTGGAGCCTGTTTGTTGTTGAGACATAGAAACATCCTTCAGAATTTATTGGGCTCTGCATATTTAAATGCTCTCAGCTGATCAAGAGCTTTAGAACAACCTTGGAAGTACAGATTAAATTATCTCATGTTCCCTGTTATGTATAAATTAATTTCTGTTTGTGCATGAAGAAGTAAATGAAAAGAATAGCTCTGAATTTCCTGTATCATGAGAGGTTATTGCCAGAATAAAAATAAAAGCCGAAATAATGAGATTTTTTGTCACCACCTTTTGTGCTCTGGTACCCAATTCAGTTTAAGGAATGGGAAATAAAGGAATTTACTCTTCTCAAGGCAAATATTTGGCTACAGAAGCAGGAGATCCCAGTCCTTGTTGTGTTGTTCAGGCCTACCAAGGAATTTTTCTGTACCAAAAGAATTGGTGTTTGCTTACAGGTATCACACTGACACTTCAAATAACTGCCATGACTTGCAGGAGGATTGATGCTGGAACATTCCAATTTCATCTAATTTTAAAATCTTTTTTACATTCTGAGCCAAGTGCATTCTTCCTCTAATTTTTAATTTTAATTTAAGAATATCTGGTTTCTAAAGAAACCTCAGTGTGCAGTCAGAGCACTCAGGTGTGTCTGGGTTGACTCCTACAGGGGTCTTTCCCTTTGATTTTCACCCTGCTGCCCTTTTTGTAATCCCTGAAGAATGTCTGCTTGCATAAACCAACATCTCCTTCCAGCACTTAAAGACATTTCTTCTCCAGTAATTGTCTCCATAAAATGTATTAACAAATCTGAATTAGTAATAAAATAATTTCATTTCTTTGGAAAGCTGAATGTAAAGCTGTATCAATCTGTGTAGAATTTAATATTGAAATTTTCTCTATGTTTCTTATCTATAGAAAAGGCAAAAGCTGTGCAAAGCAAGTCTGCTGTTAAATTCCTGATTTGACAAAAGCAAGTGAGGATATCCACTCCCACCCCAGCACTGCAACCAGAATCCTTTTTCCCTGGGGAATTAAGAAAATGGAATTGCAGATAGACCAAAACTTTCCAGCACAGTGTTGTCCTGTCTTTGTCTGCCTGAGTATTCTTTTATGGAGAGCTCTGGCATTTATTGAGTGGGACAGATTTGAAATATGCAATTGAGGCAGGTTGTGCTGAGGAGGAGATAAAGTGCATTTCTGTTCCCCTTGCCCTTGTGCAAAGAAAGTTATCTTTTCAGCCAATATTCATATTCTAGTTATGGAATATTTTTAATGTTCCTGCTAAGTAGCCTGTCCTGTGAATTGGGGCTGCAGATGATTTCAGTTACCTCCGAGCTGTGTCTGTGGTGAGGCATTTGATAAATCAGCATTTGATACCTTTAAAATGTATTAAATCACATTTACTCTTTATTAAAGGCCTGAGTTAATTAAAGTTCTTGTTTGTGTGTTTACAGGAGAGAAACCCAATTCCTCAGCTCTCCTGTTTCCTTGTGGAGCCCTGAAAAGAGAAGTACTTCCTACAGCGCTTAGAGAAAAAGGTTGAACTTCCCCTGGAGATCCATTTTAATTAGTCAGTGATGAGAAAAGTTGTATCTAAAGCTTGTGAACCAAATTGGAAGAGGTAAAAGTGGAACTTGCTGAGGAGAGTACAGGAGTAAACACGGGGAGCTTGGCTGGCTGCCCACAGCTTTGGGACCTGCAAATCCTCCACAGAACTTTCATGTGTCTTTTTAGCCTAAATAGTTACACTTCAGTGCAGGTAGGATGTTGTGAGTGCTGAACTGAAATAATAGAAAGTAATGAATTAATTAATGTCCTGATTGCAGGCATACCCCTGGAAAGCCTCACAGTTTATCAAACAGCCCAGCACCCTGATCTGCAGGAATCTTTGAGCAGTTACTTCTCCCAACAGGTACTGGACACTGGGGTAGTTTGGGATTTTCTGAGGGAGGTGACAATGCCTCCCAGAATATTCCTGTTTTTTTTTTAAAGTAGTGTAACTGAAATATCACTGGGCATCTTTGCTGTGCATCACAAATCAGAATCCAGGAGCAATCTGCCCTACATAGTTTGTGTAACAATAATCATTGCTTTCATTTTACAATATTGGCTTTCTGGTTTTCCATGTTAGGAGCCTCCATCATAGAATTACAGAATCATGGAATGGTTTTGCTGGGAAGGGAACTTAAAGCTCATCCAGTGCCACCCCTGCCATGGCAGGGACACCTCCCACTGTCCCAGGCTGCTCCAAACGTGTCCAACCTGGCTTTGGGCACTGCCAGGGATCCAGGGGCAGCCACAGCTGCTCTGGGAACAATTCCTAATTCCCAAAATCCCATCCATCCCTGCCCTCTGGGCTAAAGCCATTCCCTGTGTGCTGTGCCCATGTGCCACGGCACTGCTGGCACACTGCTGGAGTGAGCTGTGCCAACCTCTGCCTCTTTCACCCAGGGGATCCCTGCCAGCATCGTGTTCTTCAGCCCCTCTGGTGTCAAATTCTGCCTCCAGCACATCCAGAAGCTTTCAGGGGATTTGATCAACCAAGTCAAGGTATCTTCTCTTACAAATGGTGGAATACGAGAGGCAGTAAATTTGGGGTGGGCAAATGAGATAGAAAGGCTGTTGGAAACACTGCAAACCTTATCTTTGGTTTGTGTTTATTTCTCTGACGAAAACCCCAGTTTATAGCAAATACAAATGATATTATATAGATTTATAGAATTCCAGAAAGGGTTGGGTTGGAAGGGACCTTAAAACCCATCTTGTTGCATATAGGCAGGGACACGTTCCACTACACCAGGTTGCTCCAGCCCCATCCAACCTGGCCTTGGGTGGATTTTAAAAACAAAATTGTTTTCCCCAACCAATTCCCCCATCTCCACTGGGATAGACTTCATTTTCCCTGAGTGATGCCATGGTGTGAGGAGTTGTTGCCTGCATCAGGCTGCAGCTGATTAAAATTCCTCTCACTTTTCCCTGTTCCGTGGGACTCGGAGCTTTCAGTGTTTGTAATGGTGAGATAAATACTCATCTCCCTGAGTCACTGCTGAGCAGCTGCATTGATGGGTGCCTGTTAATGCTGCAAATCCCCATGGTGAGCTGCAGAGCTGAGCCCTGACAGTGCAGTGCTGTCCCTGCAGTTTGCTGCCATCGGCCCCAGCACAGCAAAGGCGCTGCGAGACGCCGGCGTCGCCGTGAGCTGCACTGCAGGGAGCCCCACGGCCCAGGACCTGGCTGCTGCCCTGCACACAGCCCTGCAGCCTCACAACTGCTGCCTCTGACAGCCCAGCCTGCCCAGCAGGGCACTCCAGGAGAGCTTTTCCAACCTGCAGACCTGTGGGTTTTAGGATTATGAAGCACTATCCTGGTCAGGGATGGCTGTGAGAAGGTTGCACTGAAATATCTTAAGATATCTGGGATCTGTCCAGCATCCTTAAAGCATCCAGCTCTTCCCCCTTCCTCCTGTGTGCACTGTGAATATTTTATCCTTGAAAAGCAGCTGTGAATACTGAGAAACTGCAATCGGCCCCAGACCTCACCTCAGGTATCCCCCAGCACACAGCTCAGGTTGGATTTCTCTGTATGATCAGTTTTATTTGCACATCTTCTGTAGGAAAAACTAGTGAAGTATTTTCTTTTGTAAACTTGTTTGCTTGTTATTCTACTTGTTTTCAACTATTTGTATAAAAATGTGAATTGTAGATTCTTTGTGGAACAGGAGAATTCTTGCTGTGAAGTTGCTCTGTGTGGGGCTGCTGTCAGTTCAGGTCAGCTGTTGCCTCTTGTTACCCAACCAGGGTGTTCAGAATTAGCTTTTGGTTTCTGTTCCTGTAATGAAGGATTTATTAACAGGGTAATAAACTGGCTTATCAGAGTTAATAATGGTGTTAGAGTTGTCTGTTCTGGATGTGGTTTATGCTTTAATTGTTTATCTCTGGAAGGGGAAAAATAATCCTATTTAGCACTAACGCTCCCTCCAGCTAATGCCAGGGGCTTCACAGGAGATTTGAACCATAATATTCTCATTTATAATCCTCCTGAAAGTCATTTGTGCTGTTAGCAGTGCTGAGGTTCCTGGGATAACAGAAAGCCTCGTTTGCTGCACAGTTCAGGTCAAGTCTGAGGATGGGGCCTGAATTTCCATCCCTGAGAGGCTCCACAGCTGGAACAAGAGGGAAAGCAAATCTGTTCCTGTTACCTGAGTAATTCCAGTGTGGAGGCAGCACTGGGCACAGCAGGACAGTGTTTGGCCTATCAAACACTTCCCTGTCTCAGGATAAAATGGGATCTCTGAGGGTACAAACTGTTGGAAGATCCCAGGCTGGTTTGGGTTGGAAGGGACCTTAAAAAGCTCATCTAATTCCAGATGAATTCATGTAAAACCCATTCCTACCTTTCTGAAAAGTGGTTTACACTGTTATTATGCAATAAAGAACCACGTTTATTTGTAGAAGAATATCAGGACATCAGATGTTATATTCTGGATAATTTTATCTTCAAATAATACATATTAGCAAAAAACCCCAGAGTCCTCACATGCTGAGTAAGACCCCACTCAGTGTTTGATTGGAGATTACAGATCTTTCTCAAAAAAATTCAAAATTTGTCTTTCAAATAATTTTAATTCTGTTTTAATTGCTGCTCTGAAGAGGGTCACAACCAAGAAAAACAAGGCAGACTGATGTGTTTATATTTAATAAATAAATTTTTATTTAAAAATATCCTCTCATTTATTCACAGTTTCAAGTCTGAAAAAGATAATACTATTCTTGATCAATTCCAACATAGCTGAAACCATTCACTTTCCAAAACAAAATCCCAGAGATGGCTGATAAACTGCAAGAGTCACATCAGAGCTAGAAAGGCACAGGTTTTTGTGCAGGATCCTCCCTGGGATTAAGAAGTGCATCCAGAAATCTCCTGGTACAGCTTGGGCTGCCTTTAGCAGTGCAAGTGTTGCAGTGCAGCCCTGCTTACAAAACACATTTCAATAAATACCAAACCAGAGCAGCTGTGAGGTTACATCTTTATGCAAAACACAGATCTCACTGCAAGAGAAAAACCAGGAGTTTCCCCATGGTGCAAAAGTTCCATTTCATCTCCAGAACTCCAAGCTGGCATTTCAAACAACGAAACACCGCGAGCAGAACGAGGAGAGAGGAGAGCTCTGTGGGGACAGAAGGAATCCCTGTGCTTTCCAAGGGAACAACAGTGAGAGAGCTCACCCTCAGTGAGCACAACCCCCACGGGAACACCCCAGTGCTCCCAGCAAGGCACTGGTGCTGCAGCTGTGCAGGGCAGCCCTCACTGCAGCTGTGCAGGGAGCCCTCAGTGCAGGCCAGGGCAGCCCTCAGTGCAGCTCTGCCCTCACTGCAGCCCTGCCCTCACTCACTGCAGCTCTGCAGGGCTGCCCTCACTGCAGGCCAGGGCTGCCTTCACTGCAGGCCAGGGCTGCCCTCACTCACTGCAGCTCTGCAGGGCAGCCCTCACTGCAGCCCTGCCCTCACTGCAGGCCAGGGCTGCCCTCCAGCTGCTCCAGCAGGCTCAGCAGGAGCTCGCAGCGCTCCAGCAGCGACAGCCCCTTGTTGGCAGTGGCACGCAGCAGCAGGGAGTAAACCTGCTTGTTGGTCCTCAGAGCTGCTTCCTCCTCACTGCTGCCCCTGCAAAGAGAGCACAGAGCCCAGCTCAGACCACAGCTTTGCATTCTGCACATCATCAACAGCATAATTCAACAATGTTAATAACAGCATTAAATGTGAGTGTCCCAACTCGTCAGAATTCAGCACATCCCTCTGGCTGTCCTGGATTGCCCAAACCCCTGCCAGGGGGCTCAGAGACCCTGGCACAGAGCCCAGGGTGCCCCTGTGGGTTTGATTATGACCCATGGAGCAAATTACAATCCTTATATGAAGAATTACAAGCCACAACAGTTTAAGTAGAATGATAGTGAATTTATCACAGGGTGAAAAATAGATTTTTGGGGTTTTTAGAATGGGGGTCCAGGGGGCAAGACGGAGGAATCTGGGCATGTCCAGCCTTTCTCCTCCTTCTGCTGTGATGTTGGCACTTTTGGATTGGTTTAGAGTAGAAGCTCACTGTCTAACACAGGTGACAGGTATTGGGAAGTAATGGTAAATATTGTACAAGTAGTTTTTAGTATAAAAAGATAACACAGCCTGGGGCAGGCAGAGTGCCTGGGCTGTCCTGCTGAACGAACCTCAGCTGGACAGGAGAAAGAATTTTATAGATAAGGAACAATAAACAACCTTGAGACTGAGAAATGAAGAGCCCTGACTCCTTCAAGCTCCAGGCTGGGAAAAAGAGACTTTCTAACCCATCTCAGGGTCACTGTGAGCAGTGAGAGTCCCTGAGACCAATGGATACTGAGTATCCCAGCAGGATAACTGGGGACACCCTCAGCCCCCACCACTCCCTGCACTGCAGTCAGTGCATTCTGTTTGTACTGCAGGCAGGAACATAAAACATAAATATAATAAAATATAAAATGTACACGCAACAGTCAGGTTAATTGCAAGTGCTTCAGGAATGACTGAGAAAGGCTGAAGCAAATTAAATTCATCACACACTAGGCAGGAATCAGGTTCATTTATTAAACAGAACAGGTAGTCAATAAAAAGCCACTGAAATGCAAAGTATTTCTGGGATAAGTTACAAGTATTCCCAGAACAAAGAATTACTTTCAATTACTTTTCCCCTCCAATTTGCACAGCCAAGTTCTCTTCTGCTTGTGATTCCACTTTGGGAGGGTGCAACTGATTTCATCCATTCTGACTGCCAGGCTGCAAGTTTCACTATCCAACACTGCATTTCCTACACATTCTCCTGGTTTTTGTCAAAGTGCACCTGAGACTCTGAAGCAGCATTTGAGCTCCAATTTCCCCCCTTTTCACCCCATAATCAAAGCAGAGGGCAGAACTTCCCCTCTGCAGAGCAGAAGGGAGGAAATGCACACGGGATGCACAGAAGGCACAGAAAGGTTAAATCAAAGGTAGTTTCAAGCTTGGCCTCAAAGTTTCAAGGAGCTGAGGAGATTTTTTAAGAGTCCCTTTGCACAGCATTCAAACTGTAACTGAAGTTCCCTGTGTGGAAACTTCAGTGCAAAACCCCACAATGATGCCAAGGTAAATGTGGGGGCAAAACCCCTCCAAAACAAAAAATGAGGAGTTACTCATGTTATGAGACAACAGAACGAATCCATTTACTCAGTTAGCTGTGACATCTGCTTGGTAACACAAATTATCCTGTAAAAATCCTCTGTGTTTCACATAATCAGATTGCCACCTTGTGGATGCTCTTTTTTAGGAGGTGAAAGCTCCTAACACTGCCTGAAAAACAGCTAAAAACACACCCAGGCTGTGTTCTCTTGTTTTTTATTTACCAGTCTCCCACTTTCAACTTCCTGGGCACAATGAACTCATTTCACAGTTTACTTTTAGCAAAACAGCTCTTCCATCAGCAGGGCTTCAATCCCCAAAACTATTAACCCAACTTCCAAGCCTAAAAGAATCCTCTCAAACTAAAGCCACATTTTCAGAACTGCATTTTATGTAACGTTAGGAGCAGCTCCTGCAGTCACACACTTGCTGCAGGGGGAGTAAAAGGAATCTTCTGAGTCCCAAAAGGAACACCACACACATTCAGATCAAAGCAACAGAAGGAGTGAGGGAAGGAATTTGCTGCCACACCAAAGCTCAACATCTCTTCAAAGTCAGCACAAAAAGAACTCAGGTTTGTCCTGAATGCCAGCAGCAGGACAGAAGACTCCATTAGGAATCAGTGAATTTTCTGACCCCCATATCCATCCCTCTCCTTGCAGCATTACTGATGTGCCTGAATTTCTGCTCAGGAGTTCTGCTTGCCCAACTCCACTGACACTTTATCAGCAAGATGCATCAAGAGACCAGCAGCACCCAGCAGCTGCTCCCCCAGAGCAGCAACTCTGCTCAGTCACACACCAATCTCACCACACTCAGGACAAAGAACACCAAGTTCCAACTTACCCAAGCTTCTTTTTGCTTGAAGTTAACAATTTAATGGATTGGAGGAGAAGGAAAGACATCCTGGACTCAAAAATCCCGAGCAGTTTCAAGACTTCCTCTTTGTTGAGGCCTGCAGAGGAATCACTCACTGACACGCTCTCAGCAGGGCTTCTATCCTTGCTGATCTACAGGAGACAAACAGCCCAAAACAATTCCACTGAATTCCACCTCTTAAATACAGGGAGTGGTTTAAAAACCCCTCCTGTAGGTGAGCTGACTTTTATATGTGTTACCCAAACTGCCAGCAAGGGACACACACATCAGCACAGCCTGAAGGAATTCTTGTCTGAGGCATCAGGAACATAACTCACACTGGCTACAGACAGCCCTGCACGTTTTAATATTTAATATTTAAATATACTAGAGAGAAAGAACTTTTTTTATTATACACAGATTCTGAAGTTCTTAGAGAAGACTTTTAAGGGATAGGAGAATTGCACAAAAAGAAGTCCATTCACACAGTCAGGCAGTCCACATCTGCACAGAAGTATGTTTTAATCCATCTCTGGATCATTTCTAAAGGAATTTCTTTAATCCACTTCCAGGTTAAGGGA